CTGCAGGAGATTGTCTTGACCATGTCTACATGCCTAAATGCACTGAGTTGCCGCCATGTGATTGGCTGATTAGAAATTAAGTGTTAACGAGCCGTTGGACAGGTGTACCTAATAAAGTGGCCGGTGAGTGTATATAGTAAGGAAATGTGTGTTTGGTAGATTATTTCTTTATTTTTTTGTTGGCGCCATCAACCTAACACAAATTTTCTTACTTTTTGTTCTAAAAATATTTGCCTCCAAAGGTTTCTACCTCTTCATTGAAGGAAAGAAAGGAACTTCTTCCCGTAGAGTTGTCCAGGAAATCATCGATCTCCACAGACTCCTGATCCACTTGTTGAGGCACCTGCTGCACTGTCACAGACTAGTGTCCACACACACACACACACACACACACACACACACACACACACACACACACACACACATACAAAAGCAAAAATATTCAGGTGGAGGTAACAGAGCGTCGACTGTGCATTAGTTCTGGGCTGTACCTTGCTGCGGCTCATCCTGAATATTGTGAAGACAAAAAGGTAGAGCGGGTAGACGATCAGACAGGTGACCATGCCTGCAGCCACTGTCTCTCCATTTAGTGAGGAGATCCTCGACACGGCGCCCGGGCTGCAAAAAAATATACACCTTGTATTATAAAAGTGGAAGGAAGACACTCACAAAGACCCATCCAGACATGGCACTAACATCCATGTGGACCGATCAGGTCTTCAGTTCAGCTGTAAAATCACTTTGATGTACTGAAGACATGTTCAGAGTTGGTCTGAGATGCATTTATTGGTTGTCAGTTTGAGCTGAAATTTGATCTGGGAGTTTTCTTTATTTTCATGACTATGAAAATTGTAGATTCACACTGAAGCCATCAAAACTATGAATTAACACATGTGGAATTATAAACTTAACAAAAAAGTGTGAAACAACTGAAAATGTGTTTTATATTCTAGGTTCTTCAAAGTATCCACCTTTTGCTTTGATGCTTCACACACTCTTGGCATTCTCTTGATGAGCTTCAAGAGGTAGTCACCTGAAATGGTTTTCACTTCACAGGTGTGTCCTGTCAGGTTTAATAAGTGGGATTTCTTGCCTTATAAATGGGGTTGGGACCAATGATCTATATTACTGGATTGGACATCACGTGACTTATCGTGCGCCGCACAGGAGCCATTGCTACGCATCGAGTCAAACGGTACAGTTTCAATGTGGCATGTGCGTCAATCGGTCACAAAAATATTCATAGCACCCTCAATTTTTATCCGATTTCTATAAAATATGGCTTAAATTAAAGCTGAGAAAATTGCTGATGTTGTGATATGTAAAAAATATGTATTTTTCTCAAGAGATAAATCTATAAGTAGTTTGGGAACTTTTCATTATAGGTTTTTGCTAACGTATTTACAGTAGAAGCCCCTTTCTGTCACATAAAGACAAACTTGCTGTTCCAACAAATTATTGTATTTTTTATTAATATTGTTATTATGTTAGGATAACATTGTGAGAGGTAAATATAATGGACAACAGTAAAATTACCTTTACTACCAGTAGGCTGAACTGTGTAGATACTGTATTATTGGTACTGATGTTCTGTCCAGTCAGCATATGGTATATCCTGTAGTTTGTGATTATACTGTATATCAGAGTAAAAAACTCAGTAACTTTTTTCCTCCACCGTACATTTCATAAGCGGTGGAGGGGCGGACCGCATTCATTTTATGACCAACTGGAGGATTTTGTCTTTACTCCCGTCAGTGCAAACGAAGAACCAGGAAAAAAATGCAAAATTATATATATATACA